ATCCATCCATCCATCCATCCATCCATCCATCCATCCATCCATCCATCCTTGTTTCTCAAACTTGACAACTTTAAGATGAGTGGACTTCAACTCCCAGAATTCAATTCCCACACTGGCTAGGGAACTCTAGGAATTGAAGCCCATACATCTTCACGTGGACTAGTGTGAGAAACTCCAATCTAGTGCAAATCAGCTATGATGTAACATCTGAAGTCCAAGCTGATTCCTGAACACCAATGAACTTCACATCTGGGCAATTTTCTTGGACAACAAGATGGAAGCAACTCACTCTTGTCTGTTTCTGGAATAGTTTTCAACCTCCCAGTCTAACATACATTCCTAAGATCTTATTATGATCTCCTAACATAGGACTAACCAAGTCCAACCTAACTTGTCACTGGGGACCAGTCCAGCTCAACTATACTTTAGACCAGGGGTCTCCAAAGTTGGCAACTTTAAGACTTGTGGACTTCAGCTCCTCATGCTGGCTGGGGAATTCTGGGAGTTGAAGTCTACTCTTCAACAGTGCTCTATGCACAAAAACTCTTGTGTTTATTCTTGTGTAATCTCTTTTCCCCCCTGCATAGATGCTAGAGACCCAAACAGGAAGTAATTCTCCAGGACGGGGCAACCACTCTTGCTTGGACCTGTTCCGCACCCCTGGACTGAGACGTATCAGCTGTTGTCTCATGTTCATCAGGTATGGTGAAGACATCACCAAAGGAAGGATGGAGGGTGGACGAAGCACCAAAGGAAGGATGGAGGGTTCTCCAAACATAGCTCCTTCTCTGATGGAGAAGATGGCAACTTCCATCTTCTCCAGCCAATGAGGAGACCCTCAACCCAACACCCAACATTTCTTACCAGTTATGGAACTCTACCTAAATCACTTCTAACCCAATATTTGTCCTTCTCAGTTTCTCCATGAACATGGCCTATTTTGGGCTCTCCATGGATCTCTCCATGTTCGACATGAACATCTTCCTGGTGCAGCTCTTCTTTGGAGCGATAGACCTGGTGGCCAAGATGGTCTGTGCTCTGCTGCTCAGCTACGTCGGCCGACGCATCATCCAATCCGTTTCCCTCACCCTTGCAGGAATGTTCCTTTTGGTCAGTCTTCCTGTCCCTTCTGGTAAGAAGAAACAACAAGAAGGAGTGTCCACCTTTAGGGGTCTGCTAGTAGTTGTAGTTTACTCACCTCTAGCTATGCTTGTGGGAAAAGACAGGATCAAGAGCAGTGTTTCTGAACTTGGGAACTTTAAGATGTGTGGACTTCAACTCCCAGAACTCCCCAGCTAGCCATGTATGAATAGAGTTAGATCAGTGCTTCTCAACATGCTGGCTGGTGAATTCTGGGAGTCGAAGTCCATGCATCTTAATGTTGTCGAATTTGAGAAACAAGGATGGATGGGTGTAGCAGTGGGATCCAAATAATTTAACAACCGGTTCACGTGAACTGGTCTGAACCGGCTGAATCCCATCTCTGGATGGATGGATGGATGGAGGAAGGGATGGATGGATAGAGTTAGATCCGTGCTTCTCAACATGCTGGGTGGGGAATTCTGGGAGTTGAAGTCCACACATCCTAAAGCAGCCAAGGTTGCAAAACACTTTCTCTTGGGCCCACCTTGGAAGAAAACTAACCAGGTTATACTTTCAACCCACCTCCGTTTCTTCTAGATATGTTGACGGTGCGTCTTGTCTTTGTGGTTCTGGGTAAAGGCTGCTTAGCGGCATCTTCCATGTGCCTCTACCTGTATGGAGGGGAACTGTTCCCGACGGTGATCAGGTAAGCTGATAGGTGGAAACCATGTTGGGGGAGGGGGTCACTCTTGGAAATCCAGGTCAGGTTTCAGAGACATCCTGGCTCTCTTTCAAGATCCAGCAGCCCAGGATTCTCCTACCACATTCATGACCAAGCAAGCAGGCAGGGGATGATAGTTGTGGTTAATCCCCCTGGAGGACCCCTGCTTGGCGTGTCCCGAAAGGATCAGCCTAGAATTGAAGAAACCAGCCCTTGAATCCAGGGCCACCTTAACAGCATTGTGGGCCCTAAGCAAAGCAGTGTACTTACTGGGCCCCCTACGACAACTATTCACAGGAATAAAAATGTAAATGGTCGATAAAATTAAGCATATATTTGCATGTTAGTATTAATTTAAAAATGCAATAATGTAATAAATATGCTGCTGTATTTATATGATACCAGCTGCATTGAAGGGTTCACCTACACAGATTAGTATGGGGCCCCAATGCTCGTGGGGCCCACCGGCAAGTGCCCATCGGGCCCATGTGTTAAGACAACCCTGCTTGAATCTCAGCATGCTGTGACTGCATTCAGACAACATCAGGGGTGGAATTCAGCAGGTTCTGACCAGTTCTGGAGAACCGGTAGCGGAAATTTTGAGTAGTTCAGAGAACTGGCGAATCCCACCTCTGACTGGAGATTTTACAGTATCCTTCCCCAGCCACGGCCACCAAGCCATCCCCACAGAACCGGTAGTAAAAAAAAATTGAATCCCACCACTGGACAACATACTAGACCAGGGGTCTCCAACCTTGGCCACTTTAAGACTTGTGGACTTCAACTCCCAGAATTCCTCAGCCAGCAAAGCAGTATAAAGCTGGCTGAGGAATGCTGGAAGTTGAAGTCCACAAGTCTAAAAGTGGCCAAGGTTGGGGACCCCTGTACTAGACCAGCGTTTCTTACCTCAGCAACTTTAAGAGGATGTGGACTTCAACTCCCAGAATTCCAGGAGGCTGGCTGGGGAATTCTGGGAGTTGAAGTCCACACCCCTTTAAAGAAATGCTGCATTCGACCATTTCTGTGGTTCTGGGTGTGGAGGAAACAGAGCCTGCCCGGCTAGGTGCGATCTGTAGTTTGCGTGAAGCTACAGCAGGGTTCCCCACCCCACCCCCGATGGGGAACCATGGGCTGGTGACTCAGCCTAGCCTACCTCACAGGGTCGCTGTGCCGGGGAAGAGGACCAGGTAGGACCAACGGGGGCCTTTAAAGATCTCTGTGGCTTTTCCTTGCCAGGCAAACGGGCAGCAGCTTCACTACAGTGATGGCCCGGCTGGGTGGCATCATAGCGCCCCTCGTGCTGATGGCAGGGGACTACCAGCCTTTCCTGCCCCTGGTGATATTTGGGGTGACGCCCGTCGTTTCTGGCCTTTCGGCGGTGTTTCTGCCTGAAATGTTTAACGTCCCTCTGCTGGACACAGTGGAAGAGGTTGAAGAGAGGTGGGTCACCTTCTCCATTGCCTCCTTCTCTTTCCCCAGTCTCCTTCTTCCATTCTATTCTGTTCTGTTGTTTCTATTTCTATATTTCCATTTTTCTATTTCTATTTCTCCTCTCATTTTCATTATATTGTTTTCCTTCTCTCCTCTTCTATTCCCTTGTTTCTATTCTATTCTATTCTATTCTATTCTATTCTATTCTATTCTATTCTATTCTATTCTATTCTATCCTATTTTCTATTCCATCCTATATAATC